ACAAGTTGGTCTTGCAAGTCCTATTGTTCGGACCTTGCAGTTGTTGAAGAAGCGTGACCTTCGAAGGAACAACAAAGCCAGCACGAGTGCAGTAGCAACATTGGCCTTGCGAAGATATACCGTGCAGAAATTCACACAAGTGTAATTGTTGGTTCATTATTCAACAACCAACTACATAGTGGATTTTGAGGACGTAGAAGGATTACCCCACCTTCGAACCTCGTTAAAGTTTGCGTGTCTCTCTCTTTTATCTTTATTCTTACTTGCAATTATATTAACTGTGAAAACTAACCCATCCATATTGATTACAGCTCTCTCTACCCACCAAATTCCGCACACAATCTAAAGTTCACAAGAATTCTAGATTAACACTCATTTTCACGTTTTCAAAAGAAACGAAAAAGTTTTAAATTTGTAACAAAGTCTATTCACCCCCCCTCTAGACTTTGTATCTCACCACTTTGGGACCACCACATTAAGTGGATCATACTTATGACCTCTTAAACTCATAGTTCTTGCAGGTCCAAAAAAGTCCATGTGCAAAAGTTGTAATGGCCTAGTTCTTGCAGGTCCTCTAGACTTTGTATCTCACCACTTTGGAAACAACGTTCTTTGACTTAAACGAGGCCCTTACTTGCTTCCCCTTTTGACATGCATCACAAATTAGATTCTTCTCAAACTTAAGTTTTGGAACACCAATTACTAAGTCTTTAGAAACCAACTTAATAAGATGGTCCGTATTAACGTGAGCTATTCGACGATGCCATAGCCACGTTTCTTCCTCTTTGGTAATGAGGCACTTAGCTAAGATAGACGAGGAATTTTCAAGATCAAACATGTAAATGTTATCTACTCTACTACCACAAAGAATAATCCTATTGTCACACAAGCATTCTACAATTCATTTACTAGAATCCAAGATGACATGGTTACCTCCATCGCACAATTTACTAATGCTAAGAAGATTGTGCTTGAGGCCCTCAACAAGAAGAACGTTCTCAACGGTTGTAGCATTGTCTCTCCCGACGGTGCCACTTCCAATGATCCTTCCTTTGTTGTTGTCACCAAAAACGACATTGCCACCTTTGAAATATTCTATGCTCCTAAATTTGGATGCGTCTCCGGTCATGTGCTTGGAGCATCCGCTATCGAGATACCACGAGGTACTCGAAGCCTTCAAGCACACCTACAAAAAGATATCAAGGAGATGGTTTAGGTACCCATGTATTGTTGGGTCCTTTTTGGTTAGCATATGAGCGATGTGTGTACGTTTGTTGAAAATTCCTAATTTTGGTGAAGCACACGGGTGCAATGTGACCTATCTTGTTACAATAATGGAAAATAACATTAGGATTATTCATCCTATATGGTTGAGTGTAATGAGTTCTATGTTTGCTAGGATGTGCTCTTCTAGTTTGATTATTTGTCCTAGCATTTTTATTCCCCCTAGCTTTAACAAATGTTGTTTTTCTAGGTTGGTTTTTCTTATATCCAAGTCCTTCACCATTACTAACTTTTTCCTTAAGTATCTTATCTAAGGTGTTTGAAGCATTATTAAACTTTCCCAATTTGCTCTCTAAACTAGCAACCTTAGCTTTTAGTGATGTACAACTAGAGCATGTAGAAGAAGAAGTAGTTGAAGGTTCTTGTGGCCTTTTTCCAAAAGAGATGATTTCTTGTTTAAGTTTATCATTTATATTTTTGAGTTCTTTTACATCATTCTCAAAAATTAGGATTTTTTGTTTAACTTCATTATTTTCTTCGGAAGCCTTTTTGAACATTCCTACAAGTTCTTCTACAATGCAAACAACATCATTAAGAGTTAAAGGATTTACCTCTTTTGATGTTTCACCATCCTCAATGGCCATGAGACACAAGTTGGCCAGTTCCTCCATTTTTGAGTCTTCACTCCCGGAGCCATCGTTCTCCCAAGAAATGTAGGCACATTGCTTCTTCGGTGCCCTCTTGTCCTTCTCATTCTTGAGCTTCGGACACATTGGTTTGATGTGCCCAATTTCACCACACCCATAGCACTTGGGTGGAGTGTTCTTCTTGACTCCCTTCTTGAGCATCATCTTCTTGAATTTTTGGACAAAGAGTCCGAGGTCGGTGTCGTCGTTGTCATCATCTTCATCATCAACGTTGTTATAGGTTGATGTTGTTGCGGGTAGAGCAATAGACCTCTTTCTCCTCTCTTCAACCACCTTTGAGAGTTGGGTGGTTTCGTAGGTAATAAGATTACCTCGAAGAGCATCATAGGTCTTTGTTTTGAAGTCACGACCTTCTTCGATTGCGTCCACCTTTGAACGCCATTTTGGGGATAAACTTCGTAGCACCTTTCTCACAAGCTCTCGGTCGGTGTTGGTCTTCCCGAGAAGATTGAGAGGATTAATGATGTTAGAGAACCTCTCAAACATTTCCTCAATCTTCGCATTTTCCTTCATTGAGAAGAGTTCGTACTCGTGAGTGAGATTGTCGATTTAGGCCTCCCAAACCTGCGCGGTTCCTTCGTAGGTGACCTCCAATTTCTCCCACATTTGTTTTGCGGTTTCACACCGCGAGATTTTGCGGTAGTCATCCGAATTAACACCGCAATAAATCATGTTTATAGCCTTAGCGTTGAGCTCCATCTTTTTGCAATCTTCGTCGGTGAACTCCTCTTCGGTTTTGGGGACGTTGACTTCACCGACTTTCTTCATCGAGACTCCGCAGCCGTTCTTCACAATCAACCATACCTTATAGTCGTTGGATTGGATAAAGATTCTTATCCTCTCCTTCCAATAAGAGTAGTTGGTTCCGTCAAACAACGGTGGCCTTGTGGTTGATTGTCCCTCGGTCACTCCTGCGTTGAACATCCTTGATGCCATTTGATCTTTTAGTTCCTGAAAAAAATAACGAATTCGAAGAACTTCCTGCTCTGATACCAATTGTTAGACAAATGTGCAACTCTAGAGGGGGGTGAATAGAGTTGTTTTCAAGAATGTGTGTTTTTCGCGTGTGTGAAATAATAAAATCGCATGAATAAATAAAGAGAGTAAGGGAAAGAAGAACACCGAAATTTATACTAGTTCACCACCTCGTGGCTAGTCCAGTCCTCCGAGAGACTCTCTCGAAAGTCCTACTAATCTTCGAGCTTCAACGGGTGCTTGAAAAATCGGTACAACTTGAGAACTTGAATCACACAAGCCTCACTTTCTTACAACACTTTGGTTCCCATGACATTGGTTCCCAATTTCATGGGATGACCCGGGGACACTCCGGTGCCCCGTTCGTAAAATTGACGGTTCCTACCTCCCCTAACCCCCCCGACAAACCCCCCCCCCCCACCCCGCCCCGCCCCAAACAAACCCCTCCACCCCCTCCAATTGCACCCCACAAGTCGATTTTGACTTTGGAGTCAAATTTTGACTCCAAAGTCAAAATCGACTTGTGGGGTGCAATTGGAGGGGGTGGGGGGGTTTGTTCAGGG